GAATGATTGAGTGAATATTTGAAGGAAAAAAACAGACTTCATAGGAATCTCTGTAATGTCTTTTTTTTAGTTTGAAGATGAACTGGATATCTGATAGGTACTTATATTTGAAAGAAAAATATAATTTAATATGGCAAAATTGTTTTTATATACCTTTTTTGTAAGTCATTTCAAAAATACAAGGCTTTAAGCATATTCTTATAAGAGTAAACAGGCACTCTGTCTATCTGCTGGTTGGTCTAAGATGTCTGTCTGAAAAGGTGCTTGCTTGGTCTTGCTCCCATATGATGCCAGTACACCCACGCTAGAGACTAGTGGAAAGCATGTCGTCAAACGTGTTCAGTTCTTTTTTTTTCTTACTAATTTATAGTTTGTTAGTTATTTTCTGTGAATCTTTGAAAGGGTTAAACCATGGTTTTTCTATTGGAAAATTTAAAAAACAAAAAACTTACTCAAGGTATATCAGCTTTTTTCCTTTTTCATTTGATTAGAGTCAAATATTGCCCTCCCAAGCAATCTTAATTTTGACCAAATACTTTTCTTTTTTGGTTTTTAGAACTTAGGCGAAATTCATCTATTTTCAACCTACTCTGAACTGTCTCCTTTCACTTTCTAATGCAGAACTCTGATTAATTCCTTGATTTTACTTCCATTATTTATAAAACTTGACTACCCTGCAAAACTACATTAAGTCTAAAAGTCATAGCACTTAAGGCTGAATTGCTAAATGTTTACAAATACAGGCTTCTGTACCAGGAAACTTAAGAAAGACTAGATGAATTCTTTCTCCAGAAATTATTTCCTCTTTACTACCTCCTTTAGAATCCAAGGAATCTAGCTTTGACTCCTCTAAAACAGAGTGCCTTTTAGTATCTAACTGTTCAAAGTTGTGACGGGCCAACTTGGATTCTGACAGAAAGTGACTTATTAAGCCTCTCTGTGAATAAGTTTCTGTTCTATCATTTCAAAACATTATCATAATAATAGTAATGGTAATAGCTAACATTTATTGGGTTCTTTCTCTTAGACACTATATAAACTATTTGAAATTACAAATTTCATAATTCTATTGAGACATCTTAATGGTTGATTTCTTTTCGAAAAACTATTTTAACTAGCTAGATGATATTTTATTGTGGTCTAGGAGGTTTCTTTGGGGTGGAGCACAGTTAATGGTAGTTATGTTGTTTGAAGTTTGATAATGAATTTATAATTTTTAATTTTTATGAAATACCATTCTGGTAAATGTGATGAAATGAACATCAGAGTCTGCTGTTTATGTGCTTTCTTTAATTTCGAGGGTGGACTCTTAGATCTTGAAACAGGCTTTACCAGTATTACAGCTCAGCAAAAATGCAGCTGAAGCTCAAAGTTCTCTTTTTGCTCCTTCATTTGGTTGTTTTGCACACCCACTGTATTTATGGAAGAAGCTAAATTTGTCTAGGGGACCAAAGCTTCCTCAAAACATGTGGGTGGTGAAATCTTCCTCTCAAGTTTGCAGAGGGTTCTGAGGGTTTTAGATTGTTCTTAAGTTACTTGATCTATCTTCATCTTGAGATTTATACGAGGTATATATCTTATAGAGTTGTCCTTAGAGATTGTTGAATTGGAGGAAATTGGATTTTATTTCAGACTAATAAAATTAATGGAGTTTATCTGATACCCATTTCTAGATTGGGTGGATATTTTTGTGTCATTTGTTTCCTCTGGGAAATAAAGGGATATCATTTTAATGCCATTGCAGTTCTGCTTATTGGTGTATAGCTTGTTATTGTTGAACTGTGTCTTATTTGGAAATTAAGTACTATGTCCTTTTGCTGCTTGAAAATTTTTACATTTTTATGTTATAATTCACAGAATTTCTGTGGTCCTGAGTGTTTCAGTAATTGTACTAGCAGATCTTCAGCAGGAAAGATCTTAGTGCCAAGTTTTTATTATATTTTTTCTTTCTTTTTTTAAATT